GCGTTTGAGAATGAATGGCAGAAGGTGTCTGCGCAGCAACTGTGGCGCATTGGTCTGAGGGTTAGTTCCCGGGCACCACATTAAATGAGTTAATATTTCAGTTTGTTTATATGCAAATAGTCTAGGGTAGTTGCTCTGAATCTTTTTCTTGGTTCCATAAACTCACTCCCCAGTTCCCCCTACCCTGACCTATAAAAAGCATCACAGTCGTATCTTGGTTCTCGAATGGGATCCATTTCAGAAGTCCGTTCGACTTCCAAAACGTTCGGGAACCAAGGCGCGGCTTCCGATTGGCTGCAGAATGCTCCTGCAGCCAATCGGAAGCTGCGGAAGCCACATCGGATGTTCGGCTTCCAAAAATAGTTCGCAAACCAGAACACTCACTTCCAGGTTTGCGGCGTTTGGGAGCCAAAACATTCAAGAACAAAGCTGTTTGGAAACCAAGGCATGACTGTACTCAGAATAGCAGTCTGCACAAGCCACTAAGGAACCTAGGAGCCAACTCCCAGGGGCCAAGGTTTCTTCACCGCCACCCCCATAAAATCTTTGAGGGGGCTGGGGACCCCCAAAGTTGATGGACATTGCCATTCAGAAGGTGTGCATGTACCACATCTTGTGGATTATGCAGGGCAGGGCTTACCTGCCCTCTCCCCCAATATTTTATTCAAGTTGGCATCCCTGCTAAGGAAGGTGATAACACGACAAAATTCAAAGCAAGTAGCCCTTAATTGCACATCTATTCAAAATCCAGTATAAACCATTTGGTTTCAGTAATTAGAGCCCTAAACGGCCTCAGCCCTGTATACCTGAGGGAGCGTTTCCACGCCCACGGTTCAGCCCGGACACTGAGGTCCAGCTCCAAGGGCCTTCTGGCGGTTCCTTCACTGCGAGAAGTGAGGCTACAGGGACCCTGTGAAATGCCCCTTCCCACCAGATGTCAAGAAGATAAATAACCATACAACTTTCAAAAGGCATCTAAAGGCAGCCTTGTATAGGGAAATTTCTAATGTTTGATGTTTTCTCATGTTTCTATATCTGTTGGAAGCCGCCCAGAGTGGCTGGGGCAACTCAGTCACGTAGGCTGAGTGCAAATGATAAAATTATTATTATGTGTTATTATTAATTCAACAAAACTGATGAACTTGATCCCATAAGACCAGCTTTTCAAAGTCTGATAGCCATTTACACATTCCCACTTGCCTCTTAGACCCCCTAGGTAATCCCCCTCAAGGGATGGTATCACCCACTTTAGGAACCCCTGCTTGAGGATGTCCCCTGGTACATTCCTCCTCACCTTGGCAAGGGTCTGTGGCAAAGGGCTTTGGGAACCACCCACCGCTTTAATTACCCACAATGCCCCTGGTGTGACATCATTCTGGGGCATTGGCAGGAAATGCAAATGACCGGCCCCATTTTAGTTTTCATTGCTCACAATGTCCTGGAGTAGCAACACGATGACAGGGGCATTGTGGGTAATTAAAATGCTGGAAAGATCCCATATCCAGCCGCCTGGCAGATGGGACCCCCGAGGCCCCGACAGCTGCCCAAGGATGCCAGGTGGAGAATGGGGCACTGCCCCCACCAGACTCAATCTCTGCTGCCTGCTTTTCCACTTACAACCAGTCCCGGGGGTAGCCCTGGCTTTCCGCTTCCTCTCAGTCTTGCCCCTTGCATAACAAGGGACAAGGATGGGAAACCAGAATCAGTTGGTTCTACCTGTCATTGGCTCTGGTGCCCTCTACTGTTGGACAGTGGCGGAGCTTCATGCTCCAGCACCGGGGTGAAGAGCAGCAGCAGCAGAAGAAGAAGAGTTTGGATTTGATATCCCGCTTTATCACTACCCGAAGGAGTCTCAAAGCGGTTAACATTCTCCTTTCCCTTCCTCCCCCACAACAAACACTCTGTGAGGTGAGTGGGGCTGAGAGACTTCAGAGAAGTGTGACTAGCCCAAGGTCACCCAGCAGCTGCATGTGGAGGAGCGGGGATGCAAACCCGGTTCACCAGATTACGAGTCCACCGCTCTTAACCACTACACCACACTGGCTCTCAGGCAGGGGCATGACTGGCATGCGTCCCGGGGGTGTGGTGCACAGCCCAGGGGCATGGCACAGCGCCCGCAGGGGTGTGGCACACGTCCCGGGGGTGTGGCATGCCGCTCGCAGGGGTGTGGTGCACATCCTGGGGGCATGGCGTGCCACCTACAGGGGCGTGGTGCATGTCCCAGGGGCATGGTGCGCGTCCTGGGGGCGTGGCATGCGTCCTGGGGCATGGTGCACCACCCACAGGGGCATGGCACGTGTATTGGGGGCGTGGTGCCCAGCACGGGGGGGCAGCCACGATGGCACCCCACCAAGATCATGGTGCCAGGGGCGGTACGCTCCCCCACCCCCCTCTTCCTCCGCCAGTGCTGTGGGACTCCCTGCCTTCTTCCCCAGCAGTCTCAATGGGCACCAGCTGTCACATTCTGCCAGACAGCAAAAACAGTCCTGAGCTAGATACGGTCAGGCAGCTGACTTGGTATAAGGCAGCATGCTTTGTGAGATTTGGTGCTTGTTGTAGTTGTTTGCTACGTCTTGCAATCTGAATTGGTCTGCAGGCGAGGCTAGTATGAGCTACTCTAGAACCCAGGAACGTCTCCCCATGGATCTGACGATGTTGTGGGGAGCCACAAAGCATCAATGGGAGAACAGGTGTGTTTGTACTTTGTAGCCAGTGCCTATGTCTTGCTTTTGATCCTCACTAAAAAGCAAAGCGGGAAATCTTCCTCTCTTTTTTTTTAACCAAAAAATAAATAAATCTCCGTTCTCCTTTTAATGATTTTTTTTTATGTGGGTCAGAATTAAAAGCCAAAGGTGATGATGTGAATAGATGCCATATAAATCCCAGATAAACAAGTGGCCAAAAGGAAATAGCTCGAAAGGGATTGTTTGCAAAGAGAGAGAGAAAACGATGGCAAAGCTGTTTAAAATCGGACAAGACAAAAAAACAACAACCACCCAACACTTGAGTGGAGAGAGATAGAGAGAGGGTTTGTGGATTCTTCTTCTTTTTTTTAATCTTCTCTTGTAATTTGAGACTCTAATGATGGACTTATGATGCCCACTCTTCCCTTTTTCTTACACCTTACCCTACTAAAGGAGGAAATCTTGATTGGTAAGTGGATGAAAACCGCAAGATGCTAGGACGTTTATTACTAGAGGTCCCTCGAAAGTATGAGCTGTACCAGGGGTGACTAACCTGTGGCCTCCCGGATATCGCAGGAATGCAAATCCCAGCATCCTCCACCATTGGCCGTTCTGGCTGCTGAGGATTCTGGGAGATGTAGTCCAGCAGCATCTGGGAGTCCATTGGTTCCCCATTCCTGAGCTGTGCCTTCTAGGAGGGGGAAAAAACCACACCAAGAGATATATATATGTCTACCTTTTTTCCCAGAGGGAGTTTTTGCTTTTTGTTTTCTTAAAGTTTTCTTTCATTTCCTTCTTTTGATTATTGTTTCAAGGCATTACAGTTTGCCTGCCAGATTTCCTTTATGTCATTCCTAAGATATCCCTTTTCTTTTAAAGTTTGTGATAGACATCCCATCTCCTTGTCGAGAGTTGATTGATTGATTGATTGATTGATTGATTGATTTGAAATGGAGATCAATCACAAAAGGGCAAGACCCCAGCCAAAGTTAAGCTCTTCTACAGCTTGGCTCCAGGCATGTTCCCTCAGGAGTTAAGTCTCACTCCTTTCAATGGGACATGCAATCGATCCATATCTAATTGGGATCGAGCCCCACTGTATTTCAAATGGGATTTAATCTCATATAGCCTTCCTCAACCTGGTGCCTTCCAGATGTTTTGAACTACAATTCCCATCAGTCCCAGGCAGTATGTCCTTCCACTCCTTGAGGAAGGTGTGGTGTCTCAGAGGGGGTGATCTGGCCCCTGGAGGCAATGAAGGCTTCAGTTAAGTCCCAGACATTCTTGGAGCAAGTAGCTCACTTGGAGCTTTCCATGGTGCTGAAACCACTGGCCAGCCTTTTGCCCATGGTGCTGAAACTACTGGCCTGCCTTATGTCCTTCCAGTGGTCTTCCAGACAAAGTCAGGGCAAGACAGGACATTTGTTTGTATCAGGGATTGGGTGCCTGCCTGTGGCACTCCAGATGTTGCTACTACAGCTCCCATTATCCCTGACAATTTGCCATGTTGGCTGATGGGAGTTGTCGTCCAAAACAGGCTGGAGGACTTCCCAGGTTGGAGAATACTGGTGCATAGGATTGCTTTGAATTGCCTCCTTATACTCTGTTGATTTCTTCAATAAAGAACCTATGCACGATTAATACCATCCTTTGCCAACCTGGTGCCTTCCAGATGTTCTGGCCTACTACTCCCATCAGCCCCCACCAGCAGGGGGCATCTGGAGGGAACCAGGTCAGCGATGGCTGTTTAAGGCTCCCCTGCTGGAATCAATGGGAACTAGAAGTGCTTAATTTTAGCTGGATTATGCTTGCAGGATTCTGTTCTGTTCTGTTTAATTTCTAAGGCATATGTCTGTCCGTCTTTTTAAAGATACTCCTTTTCTTTTTCGACCCCTTTGTTTTTAGAGAAGGCTTTGGTTTTAAGTCTGCTTTATATATATTTTTTATTTGATCTTTCATTCAACATTGATTCGCATGCCTAGGACTCTTTGCATGATGCCTTAAAATCTTCCAATTTATATCTGGGTGGGGAAAAAAGACATTTCTTCTTTCTTTCAGGGAGATGCGTTGTTTTGTTTTTTTTATTCTTTCTTTCTTTGTTCGTTTCTTCCTTTCTCCTTCTTTCCTTCCTTCCTTTCTTTCTTTCCTTTGATTACAGACTGTGCATCATGATGGTTAAAAAGAAAAGAAAAGAAAAAAGGTTTATTTGGAAAATAAAATAAAATAACGATTGAGTGTATATAAAATCAGACAAAACTAATGGGCTGAGGAAAAATCTATTTAAACGCTGGCCAATGGCTTTTGTTTTGCTTGCAGATTTCAAAGTCTGGGTGTCCTGCTGACCTCTTTAAAAAAGCAGAGGGTCGGGTTGGCAGGCTGGCCCAACAGAATGGAGAAGCCCACGAGTACGACTCAGGAAATGATACTTCTTCCCCTCCATCCACCCAGACAAGTGCATCCAGGTCAAAGGGGGGCCCCAAACCACCAGGTGATCAAGTCTGTGATGGTTTCAGCCGGGCCTTCTCTTCCGGGAAGGTGAGCAACGGGAGCAGTTCTGATTCAGGAAATTCCTTCACCAGCTGCTTCTCCCGGACGAAGGGGGCAACTTTAGACAATCCATCTCCAAGGGTTCGAGCCAAGGATCAAAGGTGAGCAACCATCCCGAAAGTCTGAGCTCTGGAGCAACAGGAAGTTGCTGTAGCTCCTGATAATAATAATAATAATAATAATAATAATAATAATAATAATAATAATAATTTTTATTTATACCCTACCCATCTGGCTGGGCTTCCCCAGACACTCTGGGTGGCTTCCAAAAAAATATTAAAATACTAAATACTGTAATACATCATATATTAAAAGCTTTCCTAAAGAGGGCTGCCTTCAGATGTCTTCTAAAAGTCTGGTAGTTGTTGTTCTCTAGTTGCGCCACTACCAAGAACGCCCTCTGCCTGGTTCCCTGTAACTTGGCCTCTTGCAGTGAGGGAACCGCCAGAAGGCCCTCGGTGCTGGACCTCAGTGTCCGGGCAGAAAGATGGGGGTGGATATGCTCCTTCAGATATACTGGACCTGAGTGAAGATGAAAGAGGTTTATAAAATTATGCATGGCGTAATTGGCCAGAGAAAGGTGTCTCTGCATCTCCCATGACACTAGGACTCATGGATGAAGCTGAATGTTGGAAGATTCAGATAAAAGAAAGTCCTCCTAGTTAAACTATGGAACTCGCTGCCACAGGAGGCAGGGATGACCACCAAATTAGATTGCTTTAAAGGAGGATTAGACAAATTCATGGCTGACACGGGTTTCAGAGAGGGTTCTCACATAGCCCTACTTGGAGTTGCTGGGGATTGAAACTGGGACCTTTTTCATGCAAGGCAAAAGGGTGTCTGATAGCAGTGATGGGTAGAGTAGGCTGCTGCCAGTCAGAGTAGCCAGTATAGAGCCAGATGGATGAATAGCCTGAGCTAGTATAAGGCAGCTTTTCTGTGTTTCAGATTGCATCTTTTAAAGGGAGTGAAACTGGAGCAGAAACTGGTTTGCTGTACCAAGTTCCTGTAAGGCTAGAATGCTATTTTGGGGTGTGAAATGTCCCTTTTCGGGAAAAGGGTCGTTGCAATCTCCTGGGCACTCAGAAAAGAAAGTCTTGTTTTTTTCTGGCTCACCTCTTAGGTCATGTGCCCGGAATGATTCTACATCCAGCAGGTCATCTCCAGAGTCTAACCACTCCCATTTATTACATCACAAGGCGGGATCCCGGTCTTCACACAGCAGATCCTGTTCATCAGGGACAAGGTGAGGTATTTTTTGGGGGGGGTCATCTATTGGCAGTACTGACTCTCTCCCCTTCCCCTTCCCTTCCCCTTCACTCTTATCATTTTACATTTAGAAAAGCCTATGCTGAAACATACTTTTAGCGTGGAATTTGATTATGTATATTTGTTTTGAAACTTCAGAGGCATGCGTTTTTATGCGAACTCGTTTTTTTACATTGGAATTATATGCTGCTTAGCCATCGAAGCTTCTAAGCAGCTTACATAAAATATACATTTCAAATTACCAATCATGGTTTTTTTAAAAAGTAAACCTAAAATGGAATTCAAAAACAAAATCAGCAGTTTTCACACAAATAAAACGACATGTTTAAATTTATATCAACCATGCATGTCTGGGGAGGCTTGCTTTAAAAAGTTTTGAAACCACATAGAGGTTTTGGTTGATTAAGTACTATTTTAAAATGCATGATATAAATGTTTATATTATTTATGTATTGTATTTTATGTCCCACCTTTTCCTCCAAGGAGCTCAGAGTGGTGCACATGGTTCTCCAAGTCCCCATTTTATCTTCCCAACAACCTCATGAGGAAATTAGGTTGAGAGGCAATGACTGGCCCCCAAGGTGCTTCACATGGCTGAGTGGGAGGATTCGAACCGGGGTCTCCCAGGTCCTAGTACGATGCTCTAACCATCGTGCCACACTGCTTGTCATTCATACCCGGCAGAATGAGAAACCTGTGCCTCTCCAGATGCTGCTGGACTACAACTCATTGGTCAGAGCATGGTGCTGATAGCACCAAGGTTGCAGGATCAATCCCCCTATGGGACAGCTGCATAGTCCTGCATGGCAGGGGGCTGGAACAGATGATCCTCAGGGTCCCTTCGAACTCTATGATTCTATGATCTATGAAGCTCCCAACATTTTTGACAGTGGGCCATGTTGGCAGGGGCTGATGGGAGCTGAGGTCCGACAACATCTACAGACCCTGCAAGCGTCCCTATTTTCCAGGGACGGCCCCAGATTTACAGAAGCCATCCTGGTTTCTGATTTGATCCTGGAATGCCCCCTTTTTCCTTAGGACAGGCATGGCCAAACTTGGCCCTCCAGCTGTTTTGGGACTACAATTCCCATCATCCCTGGCCACTGGTCCTGTTAGTTAGGGATGATGGGAGTTGTAGTCCCAAAACAGCTGGAGGGCCAGGTTTGGCCATGCTTGACTTAGGGTGTCCCTATTTTCATTGGAGCAATGTTGGAAGGTATGGAGTTATCCAAACCCCGAACCATCTGAAGGCAATCCTGTATAGGGAAGGGTTTTTCAAAATGTTTAATGTTTTATTATGTTTCTCTATATATGTTGTAGCACTGTGGGTTAAACCACAGAGCCTAGGACTTGCCGATCAGAAGGTCGGCGGTTTGAATCCCCGCAACGGGGTGAGCTCCTGTTGCCCGGTCCCTGCTCCTGCCAACCTAGCAGTTCGAAAGCATGTCAAAGTGCAAGTAGATAAATAGGTATCGCTCTGGCTGGAAGGTAAATGGCATTTCCATGCATTGCTCTGGTTCGCCAGAAGCGGCTTAGTCATGCTGGCCACATGACCCAGAAGCTGTATGCCGGCTCCCTCGGCCAATAAAGCGAGATGAGTGCCGCAACCCCAGAGTCGTCCGTGACTGGCCAGGGGTCCCTTTACCTTTACCCATATATGTTGGAAGCTATCCAGAGTGGCTGGGTCACTGAGATGTGTGGGGTTTAAATAGTAAAATTATCATTATGGAATGGGACGTCCCTATTTTCATCGGAGAAATGTTGGAAGGTATGCATCTAGAGCAGTGTTCCCCAACCTTGGGCCTCCAGCTGTTTTTGGACTACAATTCCCATCATCCTTGACCACTGGTCTTGCTAGCGAGGGATGATGGGAGTTCTAGTCCCAAAACAGCTGGAGGGCCAAGGTTGGGGAACACTGATCTAGAGGACCAAAGGGTTCTGCACCCCTGAGCTCAACAGAAGCCTACACCAGGTAGCAAGAAGTCTCTGTGAACCAGTTCTGTGGCCCTGTGTAACCACAACCTCAGCAAGACCACCTTCCAGTGCATACGGCTTCTATTGGGGGTTGAATCTTGCGCCTCTTGCTCTTTCCCATCAGCCTTATATTTCTCCCCTGTTTCCAGATCCTATTCACGTTCTCCTAGCTACTCACCCAAGTCCTGCAAGAGAAGCCCCGGCAGCAGAAGCTCCAGGCAGCGGCGAAGTCCCAGCTATGCTCGCTATAGTCCTATCAGGTACCACTCGCTTGTGCTGTGTCCAGTGCCCCCATCTTACCATCCACACACTTCTCATCCGGGATCTCCATCATCATTCATTCATTCATTCATTCATTGACTGACTGTATATACCACCATATACCTGGGGGTCTCAGGGCGGTTCACAGGGTGGTTGCGGAATGATGTTTGAAGGCTCTGTAGATGGTTGCAAGAGATTTGACATTAGCAGATATTTAAGAGATAGGAAGGACTTGGAGATAGGAGTTGGTGGGCAGTTAATCTGAGGATGTTGTTAAGAGGTTATTAACAGAAGATATGAGAGTCTTCTTTCCCATGTCAACTAATCTAGGGTTGCCATTTTCCAGGGATCAAAAGCCCAGACCCTCACCACCACTATTGGGGCAAGCCCCACCCCACATCTCCCTTGCTCACTCCCTCCCTCCCTGCCGCTAGCCCCTTCCTCACCTGCCTGTTTCCCCCCCTTCTGCCCTCCCCTCTCTTACCTTTGTTGTCTTTGGCCTTCTGCTCATGATGGGGGGCTGAGCAGCCCCAGGAAGGTCACACAAGGCCTGGCGAGCGCCAGGACCAGCACGGGGTCTAACGCAGCCCCAAGAAAGCCACACAAGGCCTGGCGGTGGCCAGGAACAACACCAGGCCGAGGGCAAACTTCAGACTAGGGTTGGGGGAGGGGTTCAGTTTCCTTTGCATTTTAATTTGGGAACTGCCAAATTTTCACTTCTCGATGAGGAAGAAGGTAGCCATCATGGCTCATAGCCTGATCTTCCACAAATTTGTCTAACCCTCTTTTAAAGCCATCCAAGTTGGTGGCCCTCATCGCTGCCTCCAGTGGCAATGAGTTCCATAGTTCAAAAGAAGTCCTTTCTTTTATGAGTCTTGAATCTTCTGACACTCAACTTCACTGGATGGCCGCAAGTAGTAGTAGTAGTAGTAGTAATAATAATAATAATAATAATAATAATAATAATAATAATTTTTTATTATTTATTATTTGTACCCCGCCCATCTGGCTGGGTTTCCCCAGCTACTCTGGGCAGCTTCCAACAAAGATTAAAAATACATTAAAATATCACACATTAAAAACTTCCCTGAACAAGTTCTAGCATTCTGAGAGAGGGAGAAAAGCTTCAATGTATGCCTGTGTTTGTTTATTGCTTAGAATATTTGCTTTGAGTTGCCACACCAAAAAAAAAAAAAAGGCAACTGACAAATCCAGTAAATAACAAGAACTTGTGTATCTGCCTGAGCTAAGATAAGCAGTGTGTGTGTGTGTGTGTGTGTGTGTGTGTGTGTGTAATTTTTATTAAATTTTCTGTTTTACAATTTAAAGTACTTTTTTACATCCTTAAGATATCAATGACTTCCCTTGGTTTATTTTACATATCATAAATCCCTGTATATTTACAGAAACTATACCATTCAGTATTTCATTATTACATCCATCATAACTTATTTACACTGTTGAATTTTTCATAGTGCTTCCAGTATTTTCAGCTGTACACAGGCATTTCCCATATATTTAATAAAAGTTTTCCAATCTTCTCTAAATGTACGTTCTTCTTATTCTCTAATTCTATATGTTAAGTCTGCAAGTTGTGCATATTCTGTCAACTTAAGTTGCCATTCTTCTTTGGTTGGGACCTTGCTCATTTTCCATTTTGGGGCTAACAAAACACGGGCAGCAGTAGTGGCATACATATATAACCTTTTTTGACACCTGGGAAATTCAGTCTTAATTATCCCCAACAGAAAGGTTTCTGAGTTTTTGGGGGGAAGTACTTTTAAACATTTTTTTCAGTTCATTATGGATCATTTCCCAATACTCTTTTACCCTTTTACAAGCCCACCACATATGAAAGAACGTTCCCTCAACCTCTTTTGCATCTCCAGTACTTACTAAGATAAGCATTGTTGATCATCCGTGGGATTATCTTTTTTTCTCAGGGACCGTGAACGAGATCACAAGTACGGGTCCAGTGGGAAGGAGTCTCACAGGCACCGTGACCGCCGACGCCGCAAACAGTCATATTCACCCATGAGGAAGCGGAGAAGAGATTCCCCCAGCCATCTGGAAGCCCGACGCATAACAAGGTGAGCTAGGGCTGTCCCAGAGGTAAAAAAAAGAAGACTGTCCTTCTCAGCTGCTGTCAAGGTGATCAAACCACCTTGAAAGGTTAGATGTCAGGGCTGAGCTGCCACCCACTTGGGAATTACACCTCAAGAGGCATAAAAATATGAGAACAGTCTGTTAAAAGGTAAAGGTAAAGGACCCCTGGATGGTTAAGTCCAGTCAAAGGCGACTATGGGGTTGCAGCGTTCATCTTGCTTTCAGGCCAAGGGAGCCGGTGTTTGTCCACAGACAGCTTTCCTGGTCATGTGGCCAGCAGGACTAAACCGCTTCTGGTGCAAAGGAACACCGTGCCGGAAACCAGAGCACACAGAAGCGCCATTTACCTTCCCGCTGCAGTGGTACCTATTTATCTACTTGCACTGGCGTGCTTTTGAACTGCTATAATAATAATAATTTATTATTTATACCCCGCCCATCTGGCTGAGTTTCCCCAGCCACTCTGGGCGGCTTCCAATCAAGTATTAAAAACAATACAGCATTAAATATTAAAAACTTCCCTAAACAGGTTGGCAGGAGCTGGGACAGAGCAACGGGAGCTCACCCCGCTGCGGGGATTAGGACCACCAACCTTCTGATTGTGGGAATGTTCAGGGATGCAGGAGAAGATATATTGTCTTATTATATCCTTTTCCAACTTGTGTTAACAAGTTCCACAATTTAGCAGAGTAACATCCCCCTTTTTAAACTTGCTGTGGATGCGTTTGCTCAGGCTCGCTAAAGCCTCTATAATAACTGTTCTGGTATTTCCCCCTTATTCCCTCATATAAGATAAGACACGACACAGTCTTCTATAAAAGTATAAAAAGGTTTACTCGCATATCATTCTGTTCACAATAGGATCCCAGAAGGCAGACTTAGCTTAGAAAAGTAACATACACTTGGAAACTATCCCATAAGAAGTCAGTCCCTTTATCCTCTCTTGGCTGGAGCCCAGAGAGCATCTTTGGCTAAGCAGATGTTGCTTCTTCGACGAAAGTAGTCATAGAGAGAGAGAGATGGCTGCCCCGCCCTGTGCTTTTGTCATTACCTGCACAGGTGAGGCCACACCCACCTCTACTCACATGCAAAGGAAGTCTGTCCCAGCCCAGAAGGAAACAGGAAGTTTACCTGCTGGCTGGACAAACATTCCTCCCCATGTGTAAACATGTTCACTCTAGGAATGTTGTACTTGACTGCTCCTGTGTTTCACATCCCACACTGATCAGCAAGCCCAAGCGGCTCAGTGGTTTAGACCACAGCGCCACCCGCTATATCAGGCCAGAGACCTATCAAGTAGGGCATCCTTTTCCCACAGTGGCCACCCAGATGCCTAGGGAAGTGCACAAGCAGGACCTGAACCCAAATGCACTTTCCCCTTCTCTGGTTTCCAGCAACTGGTGTTCAGAAATGTACTGCCTCTAACTGGGGAGGTAGTGTAGAAAGAATGGCTTAGGACTGGGACATGCCAAGCTCAAATCCCTACCTAGCTATGAAAATCACTGGGTGATTTGGGGCCAATCAGTGCCTCTCTGCCTAATTTACTTCACAGGGTTGTTGCAGACCCTCCAAGTGTACCTATTTTCCAGTCCTGGATTTACAAAAGCCATCCCAGTTTCTGATTTGATCCCAGAATGTCCCGCTTTTCCTTAGGACATCCCTATTTTCACTAGAGAAATATTGGAGGGTATGGAGTTATGTGACCTCCGACACAAGGAGATAACTAGACAATCTTTAGAAGACATCTGAAGGCAGCTCTGCATAGGGATATTTTAAAATGTTTAATGTTTTTATATATGTTGGAAGCTGCCCAGAGTGTGGCTGGGGCAACCCAGTCAGATGGGTGGGGTATATTATTGTTATTATTATTATTATTATTATTATTATTATTATTATTATTATTATTAGACAGGACATCCCTATTTTCATCAGAGAAATGTTGGAGGGTATGTTGCTGTGAGGGTGAGATAGCAATGCAGTAAAATATATATTGACAGCACTGAACTAAATTTGCGTCAAATTTTGCCCCAGAATGTCAGGGTGAAGATTCTGCAAATTTAAATCTATATATTTAATGAAAATTCCGTGAATTTAAAATTGATTTTGCATTTAAATATAAATATAATATAATCTATTATATATAATAGATTAGTTTATACAATCTATATAATCGATTATATGGTCTACATATTTTATATTTTATTATATAATCTATATATTATAGATTATATAATCTATAATAAATATAATCTAAAATGATTTTGCATTTAAAAGTAATCTAAATTGATTTTGCATTTAAAAGCAATCTAAATTGATTCAAATTTACGCATTTAAACTGCAAATTTAATTTTCTTTTTTGAAATTTCTTTCAAAATTTGGACAAATGTTTTTGCTCTTGTCGGCTTCTTTGCATGTCCGCGAGTTCTTGAGTAATGAGAAAAGGAAGAAAAAAGCTTCCCTCTTCGTTTCTTTTGTCTCCGCAGTGCCCGGAAGCGCCCAATCCCCTACTACCGCCCCAGCCCCTCTTCCTCATCCCCCAGCAGCATCAGCAGCTACTCCTCCTGGCACAGCCCCTTCAGCTACTCCCCCAGCCGTAGCCGCAGCTACTCCAGCAAAAGGACCAGCCGCAGCAGAAGCTGGAGCAGCAGCGGCAGCAACCGGAGCCGCAGTGGCAGCAGCTCAGGGGCACGGAACAGCCGGCGGAGCGGCAGCAGGAGCGGCGAGTCGGCAGGCAGCTACAACAGCTTGCGGCGTTAGCGGACCACGCCCAGGAGGGGGTGCCCTTCCCTCCCACTTCAATGGACTCAACGAAATGAATTTCTCAAGGGGCAGATCCGGAAAGGCGTCCTGTTCTTGACCGGAAGCAAACGACACCACTCGTTCAGCAACCCTACGTTGCGGGGGACATCCCAGAGGGATGCATCTTTCTATCTTTTTTCCACCTGACCCACCAACCCATGGGAAAAAAACCAGCAATGAAATTGATCCCTTGTCATTGCAGGCCGGCGAGTGCAAACCTGGGCTGTCTCTAGCACGTTTCTCCTGCACGGATGGGATCTGCTTCACACCAGTCCATCAGCTCTGGGAACTCAAGAGAACTGGGTGCGTCCTCCTCTTGCCTGTATCACAGCCACCGTTGGACCGTCCCATTGAGGGAGTGCTGTTGATGCCTCACCCCAAATTCCTCCACTATTCAGCAGGTCATGTTGCTGGTTCCTGTTGCTCCCCATTAAAGGCGGAGTAGACTTTGCTATGTCATCCATTAAGAATCCTGCATTGCAGAGGGCTGGACTTGGATGGCCCTCCCAACTCTACAATTCTGTCCTTCTTCTGAGCTTCTGTCCTCCATGTCCTTCTTCCTCTTGTGATCTGCACCCTCAACCTTCCCTGGCTGACCCAGGCGGCTGCAGAAACCTCGCCTTCTGCCACCAGAGAGTGACAGTCGTGTGACAACAAACTAGTTGCCGGCCTTCCAAGGACGTCAAACTGGATCGTCAAACTCATCGTTAATGTGGCGGCATATCCCAGTCCAAGCCATGGAACTTAGTATGACCCAAGGGTGAGGAACCTGTGGCCTTCCAGATGCTTGATGGACTCCATCAACGTCCATCAACTCCAAGCCAACATGGCCAACAGTCATGGATGTTTGTGGTCTTCCCAGCTGGGTCATCTTGATTGGCCATCACAGGATGCTGGAAGAGATGGGCCTTTGGCTGGGCTCTTCTTAGATATTTTTGGAGAGTTGAAGTCCCACAACAGCTGGAGGGGCACAGGTTCCCCACAACCAGGACCACCCCCAACCTACGATTCTCAAACCCACCTCTGGAATTAATGAGGAGGCGTTAAAATCTACCAAGCTAATGATGCAGGGAATTTGAGGGAGGGGGTAAAGTGAAGTGAAATAGCATCTCCAACATAGATAAGGGAAGTCCATCACTCTGAGGAAGGCGAGGCATCGTGTGCATTAATACCCTTTGACCCGTAGCAACATTCATTTTTGTAAAAACCTGTATAAATAGAGGCAAAAAAGGAGAGAGAGAGACAGAAGTTCCGTGTTATTTATTGGAGGTGGGAGGGATCTCTGAACAACCCCCTCCTCCGCTGTATTGCATCCACCCCAACCTTTCCTGCCAGACCACATAGAGGGTGGTTAAATGTGGGATTTTGCAGACCCTGGAAAGATGTGCCTGCTTAGAGGGCTGTCCACAGGCGTTTGACTCCGTGGCAGCAAAGGCTCCTTCTTTTTCCCTCAATCCGACCGTGTGCTGTTATATGTTCCTTTGTTATTTATTGATTGCTGTAATTATTTATTACGTTTGGGATTCGGTCCTGAGTTGCATGTCAATCACTTGCTGTCGCTATCAAAGTTTAATTTATTCCCATTTTTGAGCACTAAGTTATTAGTATTTATTATTATTATTGGGGTTGTTTTGTTTCATTTAATGCAGGAATGTAGAGGCCCACGAGTGACGTTCAGGCTCAGTTTTACTATATTTTGCTACCTCTGGCTCTTTCCCCCTAATTAGGAATGTCAGAAAACTCTGATGAAAATGGAAATAGGAGTGGAAATTGCTGGTGTTTGGTCCCATATCTGGGGTGGAAATCAATCCGATGAATTCAATTGGGATTCACTGTTATTGGTTTCAATCTGCAAATCATATGTTGCTGATTACACCCCCCTTTTCACTATTAGCATTGTGTTTTCTTTGCATTGAAATGATGGGTGGAAAAACATTACTATTGTTATTGTTATTATTATTATTTTCATTTATTACCTGCCCTTTACCCTAAGGTCTCAGAGTGGATTGCAACAATTGAAACTCAACGTTAAAAACAGTTTAAATCCACTTACAGTCACAAAATTAATGCGGGTCCTATCGCAATGACAATATGCAATGATTACAGAAATTACGCAAGTTATGTAATCTCACCACAGCAGATGGCGAGACGCAACGTTAAAAGTAGCTTAAAACAACTGACAATCACAAAGTAGGGTTGAGCCCTATTGCAATGGCAAAGTAACTTACATAGTTAGTTACCTAAATCACACATTTCACAATTTTGCCCCAGTGGACCTGGAAAAAAAGAATGTTGCTTTGTATGGAAAATGAATCGCAGCAGTCAGAAGCAGTGCTGCATGCAATCAGAGGCATAGCAAGGTCAGATGGTGCCCAGTGCAAAAAAATATTTGTCACCCCCCAAAAAGTTGTTGAAGGTTAGGGAAGGTTGCCCAGAGTTGTTGAGCAAATCTGACTGCCAATCGCATAAAACCGCCCAGCGGAGGGTGCAAACGCAGCCTGATGGGGGGTGCAGGACTGATGTCGGTCGGTCACGACTGGACCTGATGGTCAGGGGTCCCTTTACCTTTAAGCATGATACCCGAGCCAGACCGCACCCCCCTTGCAATGCCCCTGCCTCTACCCACAATGCCACCTTAGTTCGGAGGCTGCTTGACTCCTTCAGCAACTGTGACTGGCTAAACCAAGCATTCAGTTCTGGGTGGTGCTCCTCCTAGAACAAGGCATATTTACACCACCACCCCTAAGCATGACACGCCGGGACATGGGTGGCACTGTGGATTAAACCACAGAGCCTAAGACTTGCCAATCAGAAGGTCGGCGGTTCGAATCCCCGCAACGGGGTGAGCTCCCGTTGCTTGGTGCCTGCTCCTGCCCATCTAGCAGTTCGAAAGCACGTCAAAGTGCAAGTAGATAAATAGGTACCACTCCAGCGGGGAGGTAAATGGCGTTTCCGTGCGCTGCTCTGGTTCGCCAGAAGCGGCTTAGTCATGCTGGCCACATGACCCGGAAGCTGTACGCCGGCTCCCTCGGCCAATAAAGCGAGATGAGCGCCGCAACCCCAGAGTCAGCCATGACTGGACCTAATGGTCAGGGGTCCCTTTACCTTTAAGCATGATACCCGGGCCAGACCGCACCCCCCTTGTGACGCCCCTGCCTCTACCCACAATGCCACCTTAGTTCGGAGGCTACTTGACTCCTTCAGCAACTGTGACTGGCTAAACCAAGCATTCAGTTCAGGGTGGTGCTCCTCCTAGAACAAAATTAAAGGGTGTGCCCCCCCCAAGCCTATGTGAACCTGCAAAGATTTCAAGGATTTCTTGTCCCTTTGGGGGGGACAGCTGTTCGGTCACAAGCAGCAACTTCAACAGAGTTTAGTGCCAAATTTGGGACTGGCCCTACCATAAGGCAGAATGAGGCAGAGGCTTCCAATGGCGGGTGTGGGAAGGAGGCGTATGGACTTAGACATAGCGGACACCTGTCCCTTATTTGGTGGGAAAGTCCCTTATCCCAGCGCCATGTCCCTCTGCTGTCCCTAATTGATGATGTCCCTTAAATTTCCCGGGTTTCAAAGGAAGCAGCTCCTCTCCCTCCCTCCCTGCCGGCCAGGGAGGAGGGAGGCTCCAACTGTGTCGCTTGGCTGCATTGCTCACCCAATAAGGAGTCTAAGAATGACTGGGGGGTGGAGCTTGCATGCCTTGTGCCAATCAAATAAGCCGCGTTGCCTGGGGACTCGCCTTTGCTCAGCGCTTCCCAGCGGAGAGGTGACGGCGGTTTTCCTTGCTGCATCCCCTTTGCCGGGTTGCTGCACTGTGGGAACCACCGCTTGAGGCTTTGTTTGGCTGCTGGCTGGGTTTTCTGCCTTTGGCTCGGAGGGGCTCAGAAGCTGAACATACCTGTGTCCGGAAAATCCCTTGTTTTGGCTGCTGATCCCTTATTTTCGAGGCTGCTGGTCCCTTATTTTCAAACCTGTAAATTGACAGCTATGGACTTGGGGGGGGGGTGAGATGCCAGAAGATAGAACAATGCATGCCCCGTAGACTATCCCCTAAACCAGCTTGCTTCTAGCTACCACTTTTGTAGCTCCCCCCCCAAAAAAAAATCATAATGGGAACTATAGTTTGTTAAGAAGGCTGAAAGGTGTTAGATGATCCCTCTTCCCCTCACAGAGCTACAATTCCCAGAGTGGTGTAACAATTGATCCCTCTCCCCAGGGAACTCTGGGAATTGTAACCCTGCCCAGTACGTTCTCCTCTTCTGCACTCACGAAAATCTCCAGCTTCCCCTAAAATAAATACCTTAAAATATTTCCCATTTTCTGCACGTAATTACCGTACCGCCCCCAAGTCTGGTTTCCCACTCTGCATCCAAAGAAGGGGAAAATGTTTGGGGGAAGATCTCTCCAAAAGACGGCCACCTCCATTCCAAGAGATTTCAGAAAGCCCAATCCAAAACATGAACTGCTTACTCAAAAGTAAGGGCCGCTGAATTCAGTGTATATGGAGGCAGGGGTCTTTCTCCTAACCATACCTAGAGATGCCGGGACTTGAACCCGGGACCTTCTGCATGCAAAGCAGATGCTCTAACCCCTGAGCTACAGCAGTTTCCTGGGGTGGGTGGGGGGTAGTATTGTAGTCTCCCCATTAGAGGGTTTGATTCTCTCCCTCCCTCCCTCCCTCTCTGCTTTAACTGCTAAATGCTGAATTGCTCTTCCACCTTACATGTTACCAATTCATTTCTGTCTCCAGTCAAACCACTGGTATTATTATTGTTGTTGTTAATTTATCATGCACTGTATATATGATGAGAGACAGGTGTCGCGTTATTTATTTATTTATTTGTTTGTTTGGGTATTTTTTTTTAATGAAAACAATTCTGTCACTGGGTTTTGGGTTGTTGAGGGGTGGGTATTTACACACACACACACACCCCCAACAAAAATTGTTTTCATTTCATTTTGAGAACCACTAGCTCCTCTCTAACGAAGAAAATCAGCAACTGAACATCTCAGAAATTTAAACATTTCGGACCCAGACAGGGGTGTTTTCCTTTTAAATTCTGTTCACATGTGACGGCTACATATTCTGAAGAAGAACACGCAGTAGAACATTTCATGAAGGAGAAATAGAGGTTTTCTTTTCCTGAAGCATCTGAACTCAAGCAGAACAAGGCAAAAGACAAGATGTGGTCCTCATTTCAGACCCAGAAGCTGGCGCAATTGGCAGTTGATTTTTTTTTCCCTGTCTACTTGCCCTCCTGTGAGGGGAGCAGGCTAGCCTAAGGGGCATAGCAGGCTGTCTTCCAACTCCTTGCCGCCACTGCCTGCCCCTCAAAATCTGCCACCTGAGGCAGCTGCTTCACTCCACCTAATGGTAGAGCCAGTCCTGACATGAATTCAAATCCTTTAGAACAAAGCCAGGCCGCAGAATGGGCTGTGTGTGATGAGTGGCAGGCAACACATCCCTCTCGTTCTCACATTTTGACAAGCGGCTACTAAGCTGCTCCAAAACATTGGTTCATTGAACTTCAGATTTAAACAAAAAACAAAAAAAAACTACCTTTGACATGGCTGTATTCTTTAGTCTTCCTGAAGAAGTTTCACACACACACAAATGTACAAATAATACTAATAATAATAAAATCCTGCTGTGTTTCATTCTCATCCGTCGTTACTGCTTGTTTTTGTTCCTGAAATAAATTAACGCACACAGAATGTGCCACAAGGCTGCCGCTGTTTTGCAGAAGGGGTTCAAGTACATACCAGAAATGTCGGTTTGCGCAATAAAACGGCCTTGAAGCTTTCCGTCGCCATAGCAAATCCACTTAGAAACGAACGGTTTTCTTGCATTTAGGAGATAGCGATTGGGAAAGGCGCTAGAAAGTAAGCGATTGACATGCAGATGTAGAAATGATTTTAACAGGCAGATGCAGAAACACGCTGCAAGCAAATCAGCATGGATGCACGTCGTTGTATAACCTCAGCACCAAGAAATCACAGTGAATTAGATGAATTCGTGGAGAATGAGGCTGTCAAAGGCTGGTAACCAATGGCCATCAACTTGGATGGTTTTAAAAGACAATTAGACAACTTTGTACAGGAAAAAGCTATCAGTGGCTATTAGCCACTATAGCTATGCTCTACCTCATGGGTAGGCAAACTAAGGCCCGGGGGCTGGATCCGGCCCAATTGCCTTCTAAATCCTGCCCACGGACAGTCCGGGAATCCATGTTTTTACATGAGTAGAATGTGTCCTTTTATTTATAATGCATCTCTGGGTTATTTGTGGGGCATACAAATTCGTGCATATATATTTTTTTTCAAAATATAGTCCGGCCCCCCACAAGGTCTGAGGGACAGTGGACCGGCCCCCTGCTGTAAAAGATTGCTGACCCCTGTCTACCTCCACATCTGGAGGCAGTAATGATTCTGAATACCTGTTGCTGGAGACCATAGGAGGAGGATAGGGCTCTTGTGCTCAGATCCTGCTCAGTGCCAGATTTACGTATAAGCTAAACAAGCTATAGCTTAGGGCCCCACTAGCTTGGGGGCCCCCCCAAAATTAAAGGAAAACAACACTGGATGTACATTTCCAAAATATAAGATAAAAAACAAATAAAACCTACATACAGCAACAGTGTTTTGCGTTGTGTAGGCTGCTATGATGTAAGTAATGGGCCCAGCCTGCTAGCCTGCTCCCTAAAATATCACTGGTTTGCTCATTTCTATATACAGTGGTATATAGTACCTCGGGTTAAGAACTTACGGTAATTTGTTCTGGAGGTCCATTCTTAACCTGAAACTGTTCTTAACCTGAAGCACCACTTTAGCTAATAGGGCCGCCCGCTGCTGCTGCCACGCCGCCAGAGCACGATTTCTGTTCTCATCCTGAAGCAAAGTTCTTAACCCGAGGTACGATTTCTGGGTTAGCGGAGTCTGTAACCTGAAGCATCTGTAACCTGGAGCATCGGTGCTGGACCTCAGTGTCCGGGCAGAAAGATGGGGGTGGATATGCTCCTTCAGATATACTGGACCTGAGTGAAGATGAAAGAGGTTTATAAAATTATGCATGGCGTAATTGGCCAGAGAAAGGTGTCTCTGCATCTCCCATGACACTAGGACTCATGGATGAAGCTGAATGTTGGAAGATTCAGATAAAAGAAAGTCCTCCTAGTTAAACTATGGAACTCGCTGCCACAGGAGGCAGGGATGACCACCAAATTAGATTGCTTTAAAGGAGGATTAGACAAATTCATGGCTGACACGGGTTTCAGAGAGGGTTCTCACATAGCCCTACTTGGAGTTGCTGGGGATTGAAACTGGGACCTTTTTCATGCAAGGCAAAAGGGTGTCTGATAGCAGTGATGGGTAGAGTAGGCTGCTGCCAGTCAGAGTAGCCAGTATAGAGCCAGATGGATGAATAGCCTGAGCTAGTATAAGGCAGCTTTTCTGTGTTTCAGATTGCATCTTTTAAAGGGAGTGAAACTGGAGCAGAAACTGGTTTGCTGTACCAAGTTCCTGTAAGGCTAGAATGCTATTTTGGGGTGTGAAATGTCCCTTTTCGGGAAAAGGGTCGTTGCAATCTCCTGGGCACTCAGAAAAGAAAGTCTTGTTTTTTTCTGGCTCACCTCTTAGGTCATGTGCCCGGAATGATTCTACATCCAGCAGGTCATCTCCAGAGTCTAACCACTCCCATTTATTACATCACAAGGCGGGATCCCGGTCTTCACACAGCAGATCCTGTTCATCAGGGACAAGGTGAGGTATTTTTTTGGGGGGGGTCATCTATTGGCAGTACTGACTCTCTCCCCTTCCCCTTCCCTTCCCCTTCACTCTTATCATTTTACATTTAGAAAAGCCTATGCTGAAACATACTTTTAGCGTGGAATTTGATTACCGTATGTATTTTTGTTTTGAAACTTCAGAGTCATGCGTTTTTATGCGAACTCGTTTTTTTACATTAGAATTATATGCTGCTTAGCCATCGAAGCTTCTAAGCAGCTTACATAAAATATACATTTCAAATTACCAATCATGGTTTTTTTAAAAAGTAAAGCTAAAATGGAATTCAAAAACAAAATCAGCAGTTTTCACACAAATAAAACGACATGTTTAAATTTATATCAACCATGCATGTCTGGGGAGGCTTGCTTTAAAAAGTTTTGAAACCACATAGAGGTTTTGGTTGATTAAGTACTATTTTAAAATGCATGATATAAATGTTTATATTATTTATGTATTGTATTTTATGTCCCACCTTTTCCTCCAAGGAGCTCAGGGTGGTCACATGGTTCTCCAAGTCCCCATTTTATCTTCCCAACAACCTCATGAGGAGATTAGGTTGAGAGGCAATGACTGGCCCCCAAGGTGCTTCACATGGCTGAGTGGGAGGATTCGAACCGGGGTCTCCCAGGTCCTAGTACGATGCTCTAACCATTGTGCCACACTGCTTGTCATTCATACCCGGCAGAATGAGAAACCTGTGCCTCTCCAGATGCTGCTGGACTACAACTCAGTTGGTCAGAGCATGGTGCTGATAGCACCAAGGTTGCAGGATCAATCCCCCTATGGGACAGCTGCATAGTCCTGCATGGCAGGGGGCTGGAACAGATGATCCTCAGGGTCCCTTCGAACTCTACGATTCTATGATCTATGAAGCTCCCAACATTTTTGACAGTGGGCCATGTTGGCAGGGGCTGATGGGAGCTGAGGTCCGGCAACATCTACAGACCCTGCAAGCGTCCCTATTTTCCAGGGACGGCCCCAGATTTACAGAAGCCATCCTGGTTTCTGATTTGATCCTGGAATGTCCCCTTTTTCCTTAGGACAGGCATGGCCAAACTTGGCCCTCCAGCTGTTTTGGGACTACAATTCCCATCATCCCTGGCCACTGGTCCTGTTAGTTAGGGATGATGGGAGTTGTAGTCCCAAAACACCTGGAGGGCCAGGTTTGGCCATGCTTGACTTAGGGTGTCCCTATTTTCATTGGAGAAATGTTGGAAGGTATGGAGTTATCCAACCCCCGAGCCATCTGAAGGCAATCCTGTATAGGGAAGGGTTTTTAAAAATGTTTAATGTTTTATTATGTTTCTCTATATATGTTGTGGCACTCTGGGTTAAACCACAGAGCCTAGGACTTGCCGATCAGAAGGTCGGCGGTTCGAATCCCCACAATGGGGTGAGCTCCTGTTGCCCAGGCCCTGCTCCTGCCAACCTAGCAGTTTGAAAGCATGTCAAAGTGCAAGTAGATAAATAGCTACCACTCTGGCGGGAAGGTAAACGGCATTTCCATGCACTGCTCTGGTTCACCAGAAGCGGCTTAGTCATGCTGGCCACATGACCCAGAAGCTGTATGCCGGCTCCCTTGGCCAATAAAGCGAGATGAGCGCCGCAACCCCAGAGTCGTCCATGACTGGTCAGGGGTCCCTTTACCTTTACCCATATATGTTGGAAGCTATCCAGAGTGGCTGGGTCACTGAGATGTGTGGGGTTTAAATAGTAAAATTATCATTATGGAATGGGACGTCCCTATTTTCATCGGAGAAATGTTGGAAGGTATGCATCTAGAGCAGTGTTCCCCAACCTTGGGCCTCCAGCTGTTTTTGGACTACAATTCCCATCATCCTTGACCACTGGTCTTGCTAGCGAGGGATGATGGGAGTTGTAGTCCAAAAACAGCTTTAGGCCCAAGGTTGGGGAACACTGATCTAGAGGACCAAAGGGTTCTGCACCCCTGAGCTCAACAGAAGCCTACACCAGGTAGCAAGAAGTCTCTGTGAACCAGTTCTGTGGCCCTGTGTAACCACAACCTCAGCAAGACCACCTTCCAGTGCATACGGCTTCTATTGGGGGTTGAATCTTGCGCCTCTTGCTCTTTCCCATCAGCCTTATATTTCTCCCCTGTTTCCAGATCCTATTCACGTTCTCCTAGCTACTCACCCAAGTCCTGCAAGAGAAGCCCCGGCAGCAGAAGCTCCAGGCAGCGGCGAAGCCCCAGCTATGCTCGCTATAGTCCTATCAGGTACCACTCGCTTGTGCTGTGTCCAGTGCCCCCATCTTACCATCCACACACTTCTCATCCGGGATCTCCATCATCATTCATTCATTCATTCATTCATTGACTGACTGTATATACCACCATATACCTGGGGGTCTCAGGGCGGTTCACAGGGTGGTTGCGGAATGATGTTTGAAGGCTCTGTAGATGGTTGCAAGAGATTTGACATTAGCAGATATTTAAGAGATAGGAAGGACTTGGAGATAGGAGTTGGTGGGCAGTAAATCTGAGGATGTTGTTAAGAGGTTATTAACAGAAGATATGAGAGTCTTCTTTCCCATGTCAACTAATCTAGGGTTGCCATTTTCCAGGGATCAAAAACCCAGACCCTAACCACCACTATTGGGGCAAGCCCCACCCCACATCTCCCTTGCTCACTCACCCCCTCCCTGCCGCTAGCCCCTTCCTCACCTGCCTGTTTCCCCCCCCTTCTGCCCTCCCCTCTCTTACCTTTGTTGTCTTTGGCCTTCTGCTCATGATGGGGGGCTGAGCAGCCCCAGGAAGGTCACACAAGGCCTGGCGAGCGCCAGGACCAGCACGGGGTCTAACGCAGCCCCAAGAAAGCCACACAAGGCCTGGCGGTGGCCAGGAACAACACCAGGCCGAGGGCAAACTTCAGACTAGGGTTGGGGGAGGGGTTCAGTTTCCTTTGCATTTTAATTTGGGAACTGCCAAATTTGCACTTCTCAATGAGGAAGAAGGTAGCCATCATGGCTCATAGCCTGATCTTCCACAAATTTGTCTAACCCTCTTTTAAAGCCATGCAAGTTGGTGGCCCTCATCGCTGCCTCCAGTGGCAATGAGTTCCATAGTTCAAAAGAAGTCCTTTCTTCAATGAGTCTTGAATCTTCTGACACTCAACTTCACTGGATGGCCGCAAGTAGTAGTAGTAGTAGTAGTAGTAGTAATAATAATAATAATAATAATAATAATAATAATAATTTTTTATTATTTATTATTTGTACCCCGCCCATCTGGCTGGGTTTCCCCAGCTACTCTGGGCAGCTTCCAACAAAGATTAAAAATACATTAAAATATCACACATTAAAAACTTCCCTGAACAAGTTCTAGCATTCTGAGAGAGGGAGAAAAGCTTCAATGTATGCCTGTGTTTGTTTATTGCTTAGAATATTTGCTTTGAGTTGCCACACCAAAAAAAAAAAAAAAGGCAACTGACAAATCCAGTAAATAACAAGAACTTGTGTATCTGCCTGAGCTAAGATAAGCAGTGTGTGTGTGTAGCTTTTATTAAATTTTCTGTTTTACAATTTAAAGTACTTTTTTACATCCTTAAGATATCAATGACTTCCCTTGGTTTATTTTACATATCATAAATCCCTGTATATTTACAGAAACTATACCATTCAGTATTTCATTATTACATCCATCATAACTTATTTACACTGTTGAATTTTTCATAGTGCTTCCAGTATTTTCAGCTGTACACAGGCATTTCCCATATATTTAATAAAAGTTTTCCAATCTTCTCTAAATGTACGTTCTTCTTATTCTCTAATTCTATATGTTAAGTCTGCAAGTTGTGCATATTCTGTCAACTTAAGTTGCCATTCTTCTTTGGTTGGGACCTTGCTCATTTTCCATTTTGGGGCTAACAAAACACGGGCAGCAGTAGTGGCATACATATATAACCTTTTTTGACACCTGGGAAATTCAGTCTTAATTATCCCCAACAGAAAGGTTTCTGAGTTTTTGGGGGGGAAGTACTTTTAAACATTTTTTTCAGTTCATTATGGATCATTTCCCAATACTCTTTTACCCTTTTACAAGCCCACCACATATGAAAGAACGTTCCCTCAACCTCTTTTGCATCTCCAGTACTTACTAAGATAAGCATTGTTGATCATCCGTGGGATTATCTTTTTTTCTCAGGGACCGTGAACGAGATCACAAGTACGGGTCCAGTGGGAAGGAGTCTCACAGGCACCGTGACCGCCGACGCCGCAAACAGTCATATTCACCCATGAGGAAGCGGAGAAGAGATTCCCCCAGCCATCTGGAAGCCCGACGCATAACAAGGTGAGCTAGGGCTGTCCCAGAGGTAAAAAAAAGAAGACTGTCCTTCTCAGCTGCTGTCAAGGTGATCAAACCACCTTGAAAGGTTAGATGTCAGGGCTGAGCTGCCACCCATTTGGGAATTACACCTCAAGAGGCATAAAAATATGAGAACAGTCTGTTAAAAGGTAAAGGTAAAGGACCCCTGGATGGTTAAGTCCAGTCAAAGGCGACTATGGGGTTGCAGCGTTCATCTTGCTTTCAGGCCAAGGGAGCCGGTGTTTGTCCACAGACAGCTTTCCTGGTCATGTGGCCAGCAGGACTAAACCGCTTCTGGTGCAAAGGAACACCGTGCTGGAAACCAGAGCACACAGAAGCGCCATTTACCTTCCCGCTGCAGTGGTACCTATTTATCTACTTGCACTGGCGTGCTTTTGAACTGCTATAATAATAATAATTTATTATTTATACCCCGCCCATCTGGCTGAGTTTCCCCAGCCACTCTGGGCGGCTTCCAATCAAGTATTAAAAACAATACAGCATTAAATATTAAAAACTTCCCTAAACAGGTTGGCAGGAGCTGGGACAGAGCAACGGGAGCTCACCCCGCTGCGGGGATTAGGACCACCAACCTTCTGATTGTGGGAATGTTCAGGGATGCAGGAGAAGATATATTGTCTTATTATATCCTTTTCCAACTTGTGTTAACAAGTTCCACAATTTAGCAGAGTAACATCCCCCTTTTTAAACTTGCTGTGGATGCGTTTGCTCAGGCTCGCTAAAGCCTCTATAATAACTGTTCTGGTATTTCCCCCTTATTCCCTCATATAAGATAAGACACGACACAGTCTTCTATAAAAGTATAAAAAGGTTTACTCGCATATCATTCTGTTCACAATAGGATCCCAGAAGGCAGACTTAGCTTAGAAAAGTAACATACACTTGGAAACTATCCCATAAGAAGTCAGTCCCTTTGTCCTCTCTTGGCTGGAGCCCAGAGAGCATCTTTGGCTAAGCAGATGTTGCTTCTTCGACGAAAGTAGTCATAGAGAGAGAGAGATGGCTGCCCCGCCCTGTGCTTTTGTCATTACCTGCACAGGTGAGGCCACACCCACCTCTACTCACATGCAAAGGAAGTCTGTCCCAGCCCAGAAGGAAACAGGAAGTTTACCTGCTGGCTGGACAAACATTCCTCCCCATGTGTAAACATGTTCACTCTAGGAATGTTGTACTTGACTGCTCCTGTGTTTCACATCCCACACTGATCAGCAAGCCCAAGCGGCTCAGTGGTTTAGACCACAGCGCCACCCGCTATATCAGGCCAGAGACCTATCAAGTAGGGCATCCTTTTCCCACAGTGGCCACCCAGATGCCTAGGGAAGTGCACAAGCAGGACCTGAACCCAAATGCACTTTCCCCTTCTCTGGTTTCCAGCAACTGGTGTTCAGAAGTGTACTGCCTCTAACTGGGGAGGTAGTGTAGAAAGAATGGCTTAGGACTGGGACATGCCAAGCTCAAATCCCTACCTAGCTATGAAAATCACTGGGTGATTTGGGGCCAATCAGTGCCTCTCTGCCTAATTTACTTCACAGGGTTGTTGCAGACCCTCCAAGTGTACCTATTTTCCAGTCCTGGATTTACAAAAGCCATCCCAGTTTCTGATTTGATCCCAGAATGTCCCGCTTTTCCTTAGGACATCCCTATTTTCACTAGAGAAATATTGGAGGGTATGGAGTTATGTGACCTCCAACACAAGGAGATAACTAGACAATCTTTAGAAGACATCTGAAGGCAGCTCTGCATAGGGATATTTTAAAATGTTTAATGTTTTTATATATGTTGGAAGCTGCCCAGAGTGTGGCTGGGGCAACCCAGTCAGATGGGTGGGGTATATTATTATTATTATTATTATTATTATTATTATTATTATTATTAGACAGGACATCCCTATTTTCATCAGAGAAATGTTGGAGGGTATGTTGCTGTGAGGGTGAGATAGCAATGCAGTAAAATATATATTGACAGCACTGAACTAAATTTGCGTCAAATTTTGCCCCAGAATGTCAGGGTGAAGATTCTGCAAATTTAAATCTATATATTTAATGAAAATTCCGTGAATTTAAAATTGATTTTGCATTTAAATATAAATATAATATAATCTATTATATATAATAGATTAGTTTATACAATCTATATAATCGATTATATGGTCTACATATTTTATATTTTATTATATAATCTATATATTATAGATTATATAATCTATAATAAATATAATCTAAAATGATTTTGCATTTAAAAGTAATCTAAACTGATTTTGCATTTAAAAGCAATCTAAATTGATTCAAATTTACGCATTTAAACTGCAAATTTAATTTTATTTTTTGAAATTTCTTTCAAAATTTGGACAAATGTTTTTGCTCTTGTCGGCTTCTTTGCATGTCCGCGAGTTCTTGAGTAATGAGAAAAGGAAGAAAAAAGCTTCCCTCTTCGTTTCTTTTGTCTCCGCAGTGCCCGGAAGCGCCCAATCCCCTACTACCGCCCCAGCCCCTCTTCCTCATCCCCCAGCAGCATCAGCAGCTACTCCTCCTGGCACAGCCCCTTCAGCTACTCCCCCAGCCGTAGCCGCAGCTACTCCAGCAAAAGGACCAGCCGCAGCAGAAGCTGGAGCAGCAGCGGCAGCAACCGGAGCCGCAGTGGCAGCAGCTCAGGGGCACGGAACAGCCGGCGGAGCGGCAGCAGGAGCGGCGAGTCGGCAGGCAGCTACAACAGCTTGCGGCGTTAGCGGACCACGCCCAGGAGGGGGTGCCCTTCCCTCCCACTTCAATGGACTCAACGAAATGAATTTCTCAAGGGGCAGATCCGGAAAGGCGTCCTGTTCTTGACCGGAAGCAAACGACACCACTCGTTCAGCAACCCTACGTTGCGGGGGACATCCCAGAGGGATGCATCTTTCTATCTTTTTTCCACCTGACCCACCAACCCATGGGAAAAAACCAGCAATGAAATTGATCCCTTGTCATTGCAGGCCGGCGAGTGCAAACCTGGGCTGTCTCTAGCACGTTTCTCCTGCACGGATGGGATCTGCTTCACACCAGTCCATCAGCTCTGGGAACTCAAGAGAACTGGGTGCGTCCTCCTCTTGCCTGTATCACAGCCACCGTTGGACCGTCCCATTGAGGGAGTGCTGTTGATGCCTCACCCCAAATTCCTCCACTATTCAGCAGGTCATGTTGCTGGTTCCTGTTGCTCCCCATTAAAGGCGGAGTAGACTTTGCTATGTCATCCATTAAGAAGCCTGCATTGCAGGGGGCTGAACTTGGATGGCCCTCCCAACTCTACAATTCTATGATCGATTCCTTTGAGCTTCTGTCCTCCGTGTCCTTCTTCCTCTTGTGATCTGCACCCTCAATCTTCCCTGGCTGACCCAGGCGGCTGCAGAAACCTCGCCTTCTGCCACCAGAGAGTGACAGTCGTGTGACAACAAACTAGTTGCCGGCCTTCCAAGGACGTCAAACTGGATCGTCAAACTCATCGTTAATGTGACGGCATCTCCCAGTCCAAGCCATGGAACTTAGTATGACCCAAGGGTGAGGAACCTGTGGCCTTCCAGATGCTTGATGGACTCCATCAACGTCCATCAACTCCAAGCCAACATGGCCAACAGTCATGGATGTTTGTGGTCTTCCCAGCTGGGTCATCTTGATTGGCCATCACAGGATGCTGGACGAGATGGGCCTTTGGCTGGGCTCTTCTTAGATATTTTTGGAGAGTTGAAGTCCCACAACAGCTGGAGGGGCATGGGTTCCCCACAACCAGGACCACCCCCAACCTACGATTCTCAAACCCACCTCCGGAATTAATGAGGAGGAGTTAAAATCTACCGAGCTAATGATGCAGGGAATTTGAGGGAGGGGGTAAAGTGAAGTGAAATAGCATCTCCAACATAGATAAGGGAAGTCCATCACTCTGAGGAAGGCAAGGCATCATGCGCATTAATACCCTTTGACCCGTAGCAACATTCATTTTTGTAAAAACCTGTATAAATAGAGGCAAAAAAGGAGAGAGAGAGACAGAAGTTCTGTGTTATTTATTGGAGGTGGGAGGGATCTCTGAACAACCCCCTCCTCCGCTGTATTGCATCCACCCCAACCTTTCCTGCCAGACCACATAGAGGGTGGTTAAATGTGGGATTTTGCAAACCCTGGAAAGATGTGCCTGCTTAGAGGGCTGTCCACAGGCGTTTGACTCCGTGGCAGCAAAGTCTCCTTCTTTTCCCCTCAATCCGACCGTGTGCTGTTATATGTTCCTTTGTTATTTATTGATTGCTGTAATTATTTATTACGTTTGGGATTCGGTCCTGAGTTGCATGTCAATCACTTGCTGTCGCTATCAAAGTTTAATTTATTCCCATTTTTGAGCACTAAGTTATTAGTATTTATTATTATTATTGGGGTTGTTTTGTTTCATTTAATGCAGGAATGTAGAGGCCCACGAGTGACGTTCAGGCTCAGTTTTACTATATTTTGCTACCTCTGGCTCTTTCCCCCTAATTAGGAATGTCAGAAAACTCTGATGAAAATGGAAATAGGAGTGGAAATTGCTGGTGTTTGGTCCCATATCTGGGGTGGAAATCAATCCGATGAATTCAATTGGGATTCACTGTTATTGGTTTCAATCTGCAAATCATATGTTGCTGATTACACCCCCTTTTCACTATTAGCATTGTGTTTTCTTTGCATTGAAATGATGGGTGGAAAAACATTACTATTGTTTGTTATTATTATTATTTTAATTTATTACCTGCCCTTTACCCTAAGGTCTCAGAGTGGATTGCAACAATTGAAACTCAACGTTAAAAACAGTTTAAATCCACTTACAGTCACAAAATTAATGCGGGTCCTATCGCAATGACAATATGCAATGATTACAGAAATTACGCAAATTGCGTAATCTCACCACAGCAGATGGCGAGACACGACGGTAAAAGTAGCTTAAAACAACTGACAATCACAAAGTAGGGTTGGGCCCTATTGCAATGGCAAAGTCATTTACATAGTTAGTTACCTAAATCACATGTTTCACAATTTTGCCCCAGTGGACCTGGAAAAAAAGAACATTGCTTTGAATGGAAGACGAATCGCAGCAGTCAGAAGCAGTGCTGCACGCAATCAGAGGCATAGCAAGGTCAGATGGTACCCAGTGCAGAAAAAAAATTGTCACCCCCCCCCCCAAAGTTGTTGAAGGTTAGGGAAGGTTGCCCAGAGTTGTTGAGCAAATCCGACCGCCAATCGCATAAAACCACCCGCCGGAGGGTGCAAACGCAGCCCAACGGGGGGTGCAAGACTGATCGCCAGGCGTATTTACACACCCCCTAGGCATGACACGCCAGGATGCAGGTGGCGCTGCGGGTTAAACCACAGAGCCTAGAACTTGCCGATCAGAAGGTCGGCAGTTTGAATCCCCGCGACAGGGTGAGCTCCCGTTGCTCGGTCCCAGCTCCTGCCAACCTAGCAGTTCGAAAGCACGTCAAAGTGCAAGTAGATAAATAGGTACCACTCCGGCGGGAAGGTAAACGGCATTTCCGTGCGGTGCTCCGGTTCGCCAGAAGCGGCTTAGTCATGCTGGCCACATGCTCCGGAAGCTGTACGCCGGCTCCCTCAGCCAATAAAGCGAGATGAGCGTCGCAACCCCAGAGACGGTCACGACTGGACCTAATGGTCAGGGGTCCCTTTACCTTTAAGCATGATACCCGGGCCAGACCGCACCCCCCTTGTGACACCCCTTCCTCTACCCACAATGCCACCTTAGTTCGGAGGCTGCTTGACTCCTTCAGCAACTGTGACTGGCTAAACCAAGCATTCAATTCAGGGTGGTGCTCCTCCTAGAACAAAATTAAAGGGTGTGCCCCGCTTCCCCGAAGCCTATGTGAACATGCCAAGATTTTAGGGATTTCTTGTCCCTTTGGGAGGGACAGTATTTGGTCACAAGCAGCAACTTCAACAGAGTTTAGTGCCAAATTTGGGACTGGCCCTACCATAAGGCAGAATGAGGCAGAGGCTTCCAATGGCGGATGTGGGAAGGAGGCATATGGACTTAGACATAGCTGTCAACTGTCCTTTATTTGGCGGGAAAGTCCCTTATCCCAGCGCCGTGTCCCTCTGCTGTCCCTTATTGATGATGTCCCTTAAATTTCCCAGGTTTCAAAGGAAGCAGCTCCTCTCCCTCCCTCACTCCCTGCCAGCCAGGGAGAAGGGAGGCTCCAACTGTGTTGCTTGGCTGCGTTGCTCACCCAATAAGGAGTCTAAGAACGACTGGGGGGTGGAGCTTGCATGCCATGTGCCAATCAAATCGGCCGCGTTGCCTGGGGAGTCGCCTTTGCTCAGCGCTTCCCAGCGGAGAGGTGACGGTGGTTTTCCTTGCTGCATCCCCTTTGCCGGGTTGCTGCGCTGTGGGAACCACCACTTGAGACTTCATTTGGCTGCTGGCTGGGTTTTCTGCCTTTGGTTCGGAGGGGCTCAGAAGCTGAACATACCTGTGCCCGGAAAATCCCTTGTTTTGGCTGCTGATCCCTTATTTTCGAGGCTGCTGGTCCCTTATTTTCAAATCTGTAAGTTGACAGCTATGGACTTGGGGGGGGTGAGATGCCAGAAGATAGAACAATGCATGCCCCGTAGACTATCCCGTAAACCAGCTTGCTTCTAGCTACCACTTTTGTAGCTCCCCCACCCCCCACCCCCCCGTATCACATTGGGAACTATAGTTTGTTAAGGAGGCTGAAAGGTGTTAGAGGATCCCTCTTCCCCTCACAGAGCTACAATTCCCAGAGTGGTGTAACAATTGATCTCTCTCCCCAGGGAACTCTGGGAATTGTAACCCTGCCCAGTACGTTCTCCTGTTCTGCACTCACGAAAATCTCCAGCTTCCCCTAAAATAAATAGCTTAAAATATTTCCCATTTTCTGCACGTAATTACCGCCCCCAAGTCTGGTTTCCCACTCTGCATCCAAAGAATGGGAAAACGTTTAGGGGAAGATCTCCCCAAAAGACGGCCACCTCCATTCCAAGAGATTTCAAAAAGCCCAATCCAAAACATGAACTGCTTACTCAAAAGTAAGGGCCGCTGAATTCAGTGTATATGGAGGCAGGGGTCTTTCTCCTAACCATACCTAGAGATGCCGGGACTTGAACCCGGGACCTTCTGCATGCAAAGCAGATGCTCTTACCCCTGAGCTACAGTGGTTTCCTGGGGTGGGTGGGGGGATAGTATTGTAGTCTCCCCATTAGAGGGTTTGATTCCCTCCCTCCCTCCCTCCCTCCCTCCCTCCCTCCCTCTCTGCTTTAACTGCTAAATGCTGAATTGCTCTTCCACCTTACATGTTACCAATTCATTTCTGTCTCCAGTCAAACCACTGGTATTATTATTGTTGTTGTTAATTTATCATGCACTGTATATATGATGAGAGACAGGTGTCGCGTTATTTATTTATTTATTTATTTATTTATTTATTTATTTATTTGGATTATTTTTTTTAATGAAAACAATTCTGTCACTGGGTTTTGGGTTGTTGAGGGGTGGGTATTTACTCCCCCCCCCAACAAAAATTGTTTTCATTTCATTTTGAGAACCACTAGCTCCTCTCTAACGAAGAAAATCAGCAACTGAACATCTCAGAAATTTAAACATTTCGGACCCAGACAGGGGTGTTTTCCTTTTAAATTCTGTTCACATGTGACGGCTACATATTCTGAAGAAGAACACGCAGTAGAACATTTCATGAAGGAGAAATAGAGGTTTTCTTTTCCTGAAGCATCTGAACTCAAGCAGAACAAGGCAAAAGACAAGATGTGGTCCTCATTTCAGACCCAGAAGCTGACGCAATTGGCAGTTGATTTTTTTTCCCTGTCTACTTGCCCTCCTGTGAGGGGAGCAGGCTAGCCTAAGGGGCATAGCAGGCTGTCTTCCAACTCCTTGCCGCCACTGCCTGCCCCTCAAAATCTGCCGCCTGAGGCAGCTGCTTCACTCCACCTAATGGTAGAGCCAGTCCTGACATGAATTCAAATCCTTTAGAACAAAGCCAGGCCGCAGAATGGGCTGTGTGTGGTGAGTGGCAGGTAACACATCCCTCTCGTTCTCACATTTTGACAAGCGGCTACTAAGCTGCTCCAAAACATTGGTTCATTGAACTTCAGATTTAAACAAAAAACCTACCTTTGACATGGCTGTATTCTTTAGTCTTCCTGAAGAAGTTTCACACACACCCAAATGTACAAATAATACTACTAATAATAAAATCCTGCTGTGTTTCATTCTCATCCGTCGTTACTGCGTGTTTTTGTTCCTGAAATAAATTAACGCACACAGAATGTGCCACAAGGCTGCCGCTGTTTTGCAGAAGGGGTTCAAGTACATACCAGAAATGTCGGTTTGCGCAATAAAACGGCCTTGAAGCTTTCCGTCGCCATAGCAAATCCACTTAGAAACAAACGGATTTCTTGCATTTAGGAGATAGCGATTGGGAAAGGCGCTAGAAAGTAAGCGATTGACATGCAGATGTAGAAATGATTTTAACAGGCAGATGCAGAAACACCCTGCAAGCAAATCAGAATGGATGCACGTCGTTGTATAACCTCAGCACCAAGAAATCACAGTGAATTAGATGAATTCGTGGAGAATGAGGCTGTCAAAGGCTGGTAACCAATGGCCATCAACTTGGATGGTTTTAAAAGACAATTAGACAACTTTGTACAGGAAAAAGCTATCAGTGGCTATTAGCCACTATAGCTATGCTCTACCTCATGGGTAGGCAAACTAAGGCCCGGGGGCTGGATCCGGCCCAATTGCCTTCTAAATCCTGCCCACGGACAGTCCGGGAATCCATGTTTTTACATGAGTAGAATGTGTCCTTTTATTTATAATGCATCTCTGGGTTATTTGTGGGGCATACAAATTCGTGCATATATTTTTTTTTCAAAATATAGTCCGGCCCCCCACAAGGTCTGAGGGACAGTGGACCGGCCCCCTGCTGTAAAAGATTGCTGACCCCTGTCTACCTCCACATCTGGAGGCAGTAATGATTCTGAATACCTGTTGCTGGAGACCATAGGAGGAGGATAGGGCTCTTGTGCTCAGATCCTGCTCAGTGCCAGATTTACGTATAAGCTAAACAAGCTATAGCTTAGGGCCCCACTATCTTGGGGGCCCCCCAAAAATTAAAGGAAAACAACACTGGATGTACATTTACAAAATATAAGATAAAAAACAAATAAAACCTACATACAGCAACAGTGTTTTGCGTTGTGGAGGCTGCTATGATGTAAGTAATGGGCCCAGCCTGCTAGCCTGCTCCCTAAAATATCACTGGTTTGCTCATTTCTATATACAGTGGTATATAGTACCTCGGGTTAAGAACTTAATTCGTTCTGGAGGTCCATTCTTAACCTGAAACTGTTCTTAACCTGAAGCACCACTTTAGCTAATAGGGCCTCCCGCTGCCACGCCGCCGGAGCACGATTTCTGTTCTCATCCCGAAGCAAAGTTCTTAACCTGAGGTACTATATCTGGGTTAGCGGAGTCTGTAACCTGAAGCACCTGTAACCCGAGGTACCACTGTACTAGAGAACTCTCCAGAATAATAGCTGTCAACATTTCCCTTTTCTTGTGAGGAATCCTATTCAGAATAAGGGAATTTCCCTTTAAACATGGGAAACGTTGACAGCTAGGTCCAGAATTCAGTTCCCAACCAATCAAATTCAAGCACATAGTAAGGCCTACAGGCATTCACAAGTTCAGTGAATTAAATTACTATACTTAACCCTTCTTACATTATTTTGTTCTTGTGTAAATCCACCCATATATGCTTAACTCCTAATATTGTCTCCTTTAAGATCAGGCCCCTGCTCTCTGACTCCCTTCCTGTTTCACCAGGTTGTTTTTTTAAAAACACAACCATAACATGAGCAACCACAACATTTGTTCTAGCTGCATCTGAAGCTAAAGCAACCTTGACCCAGTTTGTTTTTATATTGTAACAACCCTTTAACAATATTTGCCTTTTCCTTGCATAGCTTCTGTTCCTCCTAGCCCTTCCCAGGGTTTTCTTCCCATGGTGCAATTCTGTTTTTCACACGGTCGGGCTAGGGGTGGAAGAGAAATCTGATTCAATGCATGTTTAAAATCAAATCTATCAAATCCAAAACTTCCGAAACAAAATGCAAAGCGAGACACAACTATCCTTGGAAATTCGGGCTTATCTGAAAGGTTGCAATGCAGTTCTCACATCAATTGTTTCTAAAAATGCATAGATCAGATTAGGGGGGGAGGTGCATGAAAATATTAGTGAAAATTACATGCAAACTGCATTATATTAGGCGAATTGCTTGCAAAGATTAGTCAGAACTGCATATTAAAAATGTATATGTTAGGAGAAATTCACACAAAATTTGCTGGTAAATGAGGATTTTTTTAAAAAAAACAACAACCCTCAAATTGTTGCAAAATGTGGAGAACTGAATTTAAATTTGGGGAAATGAGAAACTGAGATAAGTGAAATTGACACAACCTTCCATTCCTATCACAGGGCATTGGTAGCTCACCTTTAATAATAATATATTAATTTATTTTTTCTACCCCCACCTATCTGGCTGGGTTTCCCCAGCTGCTCTGGGCAGCTTCCAACAAAAGATTAAAAATATATTAAAACATCAGTCATTAAAAACTTCCCTAAACAGGGCTGCCTTCAGATGTCTTCTAAACGTCAATACTCTCCAAGTATTGTTGGACTACAACTACAAAGGGGCAGATGGGGCTCATCAAACTGAGAAGGTGGCTCGGCTTACATTTAGGAGAAGGAAAACTCTGATCCGAAACCACTTGCAGGATACATTCAGGCGAAGAGAAGGCTAAGGGGTAAAGCCTAAAAAAATCTGTAGTTGAGTCCTTAAGACAGCTGAATGGTGCCTTGCACACCTCCTTCCAGCTACTCCTGCAGCCAAGCTGGTGCCAAACATCTTGCTCTGCTTTCCTTTGGACCACATCAGTGAGGCCCAGAAGGGGGTCTTGTCATCTGGGCAGCCCAGGACCTCCAGACCTTTAAAGCCCTAAACGGCCTCGGTCCAGTATACCTGAAGGAGCGTCTCCACCTCCATCATTCTGCCTGGACACTGAAGTCCAGCGCTGAGGGCCTTCTGGCGGTTCCCTTGCTGCGAGAAGCCAAGTTACAGGGAACCAGGCAGAGGGCCTTCTCGGTAGTGGCGCCCGCCCTGTGGAACACTCTCACACCAGTTGTCAAAGAGAAAAATAATTACCAAACGTTTAGAAGACGTTTAAAGGCAGCCCTGCTCAGGGAAGCTTTTAATGTTTAATAGGTTATTGTATTTTAGTGTTTTGTTGGAAGCCGCCCAGAGTGGCTGGGGAGACCCAACCAGATGGGCAGGGTGTAAATAATACATTATTATTATTATTATTATTATTATTATTATTATTATTATTATTATTATTATTATTATTTTATTATTATTATTATTATTATTATTTTATTATTATTATTATTATTATTATTATTATTATTATTATACACACTGCCCAGGCTTGCACTGCGGAGAGGTCACTTCAGTGTCGCTAATGCAGCAGCTTGATTTCATCCTCACACTCCATCGTCTCTTGAGACAAACAGACGTCAACAACAACTCCCAGAATCCTTGTTTCCATTGGCCATGCTGACTGGGGCTGATGGGAGCTGGAGTCCAACCAAAACAGGAGAGCATCAGGTTGGGGGAGGCTAATCTGGAGGAGGGGGTGGGCACCGATTCCCTCTCCCTAAGCTGTATAAAGCACGGTATTTTCCGCTCCATAAGACACACCAGACCATAAGGCGCACCTAGTTTTGGGAGGAGGAAAACAGGGGGGGAAATATTCTGAATCCCAGAAGCCAGAACAGCAAGAGGGATCTGGCTTCTGGGATAGCCTCTGGCTGTTCTGGCTTCTGGGATAGCAGTGCCAAGCCTCTTAAGGGAGCAGGATGAAGGCTCCCCCTGCCCAAACAGGCTGCGCGCGACTAAGGCAGAAGCCAGGAACGGCGCTTGGCTGAAGGGGCGCTGCGCATAGAGGGAGAACTGTGCAGTGCCCCTTCAGCGAAGCGGGAGGAGGAACAGAAGGAGCCGCTTCTGTTCCTTCTCTGGCTTTGCAGGACAGGCGCGTCGCTGAAGGGGCGCTGCACAGTTCTTCCTCTCTGCGCAGCGCCATTCATTCCATAAGACGCACTCACATCTCCCTTTACTTTTTAGGAGGAAAAAAGTGCATCTTATGGAGCGAAAAATACGGTAAAACAATGCTCTTGTCAGTCATCCTCAGGTATCATGTGTCTCAGATCTGGAGTGGAAGGCTGAAACAGGGGAAATACGAGGGTAACATGGGGAGGGGGCGCTGAGAACAGGGAACAATGGCTGGAGAAGGTAGGTACTTTCCCCCTCCCCAGATCCAGCTGCCACGGCAGGGGAGGCAAAACTCCCAGCTCCCTTCTTCCTACCAGGAGAAAGGAGCAAAGCAATGGAATCTGGGCTGGGCAATGGCCCATCGCTAGGGGTAGAGGAACTGGAGTCAGAAGGGAAAAGGACAGTCTGGTCACCCAGGACCTAGACACACCCTCCCTGGTACAGCGAGTGTCTGCATACTTGACAATCTAGATAGGCACAATCTAGATAGGCACAAGGGCAAGTGAGAGCACCTGGCCTGATCTTTAAAAGCTTGGTGGGTGGGCGTGCCAACCCATTGGGACAATTTTGTGGCTTCCATGCAGTTTTGACCTCCTTGCCTACATCTTGGGACTCCTCGAGCTTGGACCAATACTTCTAGTCTGTCTAACCTTGGCTTTCCCATCATCAAACCTGGACGTAGAAGCTGCTGTGACTCATTTACCTATTGCTGAACCTCTTATCTCTTATCTGTCGTGATAAAGGAGTAAGAGCCTATGTCATGGTGGGCTGGATGGAAGCCAGGACTACTGTATCAGCAACTGGTAGCAAAATTTATTTAGAACCACAGCTGTCAACGTTTCCCTTTTTTAAAGGGAAATTCCCTTATCCTGAATAGGATTCCTCGCAAGTAAAGGGAAAAGTTGACAGCTTGTTTAGAACACCATGCAAAAGATAAACACCAAGAGGAGCAGATACAGCAGGGTTGGGTTTTTTTACTTGCAGCTTTACTGTTACTGCTGAAATCTTAGGAAGTCAGGCCATTACTGATTTTCTGCCAATTACCCAGAGAACTTGTGGTAGACCGCAATGTACCTTTAGGCTGCCTCTCTTGTCAAGCACCCCAAATATTAAAGTACCCTATACAGTCATACCTTGGAAGTTGAACAGAATCTGTTCCGGAAGTCCTTTAGACTTCCAAAACATTTGGAAACCAAAGCACGGCTTCTGATTCGCTGCAGGAAGCTCCATCAGATGTTTAGGTTACAAAAAACGTTCACAAACTGGAACACTCACTTCCAGGTTTGTGGCATTCGGGAGCCAAAACGTCCGAGTACCAAGGTGTTTGGGATCCAAGGTACGACTGTAAATACAAAATAATGGCAACGCTGATCACAGCAGAAAAAGAGGGTGTGAGGCACGGCATTTTAAAAAGGCCCAGGAATAGTGATCTGGCCCAGGGATGCAGGAGAGTTCCCGTTTTGCTTACATTTTAACGAGAAACAAATTCACACTTTTCAGATCAGTGTGTGAATCCAAACACAGCTGCCCTTCAACGTTCACAGTGCCTCAAATTTTGCAGTGCAGGCAGACAATGTTTATACAAAAACACATATATTGAAAAGGCATGCATTAGTAAAGTAACATACAAAAAGATCCTTTCCATTAGGGGGAATCACTTGCAATAACGTGTATATTAGTTAAAGCTGCGTATAAAAACGTGTACATTATTTATTTATTGAATTTATATCCTGTCCTTTCTCCCCAAAAAAGGAGCCCAAAATATTAGGTGAAATTCACACTAAAATGCTGATAAATTTCCTTGAGGGTTTCTACTTATCCAGTCACAAACAGATGCAGAAATGAATTTAAGACTGGTGGGCGAGGGAAACAGAGAGAGAAATGAAATTGAAAGCATTGTTCATTTTTCATTTCACTCCTTTATTTTGGCAGCTGGCTCAAATCCAGGACTCCAAAATGAAAGAGAAGGCATCTCAAGATCCTGGAAAGGGGTGCAGGTGTGGTGAAAATGTGGCTTTTATTTCCATGTATTTCAAGGCCTTTTTCCTTTCCAGAGGGTTAATTGAAAAACAGCCTGCAGCCACCCAGCCTGCGCTTGTTTCTTTGATCCCTTCACCCCCCCCTCCATCCAATAAAAGCCCAATTGCTATCAGCAGTTTCCAGCTGATTCAGGTTGGGTGGTTTTGGGTGGAGTTAAATGCAGTTCCTCGCTCCGGCCTCCAAGTGTCAGGGTCAGAAGCGACTGGGCGAAAAGCACAGGCCTTCCGGAGAGAGCGCTGGGCTTGAGCCAAGGCCATCTCTGCTGGGGGAAAAAACCCAGCAAAAATAAAACAAACAACCTCCAAGCTCCTTTTCCTAGGGCCTCTCCAGATAGCATTCCTGGCGCATTGCCTCGCTCCACCTCTGCCCAGTGTGAGAACACCGCTTTGCTGTGTGGCTGCCTGCCCAGGGAAGCCAGGGACACGGCTGAAAGCTTTTTCTATCTGCATTGCTGAACTGTCAAGAGGAGTAGGGGACTGAGTGGTGCACGTCTGATTCAGCACTGAAGGCGCCATTGCTCAGTTGGGAACGCCCCAGAGCCTACTTCAGTGACTGGGCACTGCCTGGCATCCTTTGGAGACCTTTCCAGACAGAGGCTTCTGTGGGTAAGAGACTACTAGGGAGCCAGGGAGGGGGGAAGGAAGACTTGATGCTTTGAGCTATGGGAGGGGTCATGCTTTCAAACTGCTTATGTGGATGTCTCAGAGTTTAGGTCTCCTGCGTGCATTTCAGACCTCCAGTCCGGTGAGATTTAGCCCGGGAGAGCAAACCACACAGATAAACAGAGCATCACATGCTAATTTAAAGGTTTGTTGTGCCTGCACCAAGTTTTAGACTTTCCTGGGGCGGGTTTCGCAGTGTTAGGGCTATTGCAACGAAAGCAACAAAAATGTCCCATTTTGCCTTGAAGGTTAACAACTATATTCTTCTAGCACGAGCTTTTGTGCACCGGAAAACGAAGTCTTTAAGGCGCCACAAGACTCTTCGTCTCTGAAGTGCTGTTACTGGTTGGCAGATTCTCTCTCTACACCTGTGTGCGAGAGAGAAAGTGGGTTAAGAAATGCCAGAGATAAGAGTAACTCCAAGGCATGTTTCTGTGAAGCTCAAATGTCTCCTAGTTTATTGCAGTGACCTTTCACAACAGCTGTTATTGGTGAGTACGCACAATGCCTCCAGCCTTGTCGGTATTTTTGCAGGAGGGATTCAAGAGTATGCTGCAACTTTTGGTTGGTGCAATTAAAAGGCATGAAGAGCTTTGTCGCCCTGGCATGACATAATCACTTTTTGAAAAAGTGCGGTTAGGAATGCATCGAAACGGGACAAAAGGCTGATTGGGAAATAAATCGGAGCAAATGTTCCGTATTGACTGGCCGTAACAGTGTTAGCAGTAGAGACAACCCTGGTCTCAACTGAGTCCTAGATTAGTTAAATCAAACTTGCCAATAAATTCAGGTGCAGCAGGTTTCATGTCAGCAGAAGAGTATCGTCTGAAACTGGAATGTTATTTCACAGATTTCTGAATGTTAGGTGTAAGCCTGTTAACAAATCTTCCCTCATGACTTTCTTCTTTATATGTTGGTGTCTTGGTTCAGATAAGCCTTGCTCTCCACATTACCATGCTGATTAAAGCCATAGGCCCTGTCTGAGGTTTTGATGATGAAATAATAATTTAACCTTGCAGCACAGGATTCCTGTGTGTGATACCCAGAAGTACTGTATGTCTTACCAGCATCAGTGGAACTTATTCCCACATATATAGGATTGCAATCTTGATCCCCAGAAGCACAATACATTTAAAACAGGATTATTCCCCCTTTAAACAGTCATGGCTTCCCCCCAAAGGCACCTCAAAAGTGAAGTTTGTTAATGGTGCTGTGAGAGTTGTTGGAGACCCCTTTTCCCCTCAGTCCCCTGGGAAAAGGAACTGACTGTTAAACCACTCTGGCAACAGTAGTTCTGTGAGGGGAACAGGGGGTCTCCTAGCAACTCTCAGCAACCTTTACAAACTACACTTCCCAAGATTCTTTGAGGGAAGCCATGGCTGTTTAAAGTGGTGTGATACTGCTTTAAAGGTACAGTACAGATACGGTTGTAGTTTGGATTAGCATGTTGTCCAAACCCGGGTTCATGGTTTAGCTCTCTCCAGATTAGCCATTAGTTGTAACCATGGTTTTCCTGCTACTGTGAAGAGAAGCTTCTCTTGTTTTTTCACAATCAGGCGGCATATGCATATTGTTAAACAAATCATGACATTAAAGTGCTAGGCCACATGGCTGCAACCACCATCTTCTTTATCCCTGATGAAGAATCGGTGAGATAACATCAATTTCTGTTTTCTGCTTCTCATTTCTCCAGTCTTCAGTTCAGTTCTGTACTTCTCAGTTAGCCTTTTTTAAAAAGAAGAAGAAGAAAAGGTCATGAAAATTCATCAGCATTTTTGCGTGAACATCCTAACAAACACTTTTTTGTATGCAGTGGCTCTTGAGGAACATATTTTTTGCAAAGCAATCTTCCCTGATATAATGCGTTATTGTATGTCGTATGCATTTTTATGGAGACTACCCTAGTATAGGCATTTTTGTACACACTTCTTGGCTAGAGAACTGCATCGAAAACTTCTAAAAAGTGCAAATTTTGAAGGATGCCTGTGTTTTAGTTTGTCTTTTGTTCCAGGAAGTGCAAATTAGTAAGGGCTTATATTCAAACTGCATCCCTATCCCTTACGCCTCTGGGCCCTGACATACATATCCAAGGCAGGACCCAGAAGCACTGGGTTCAAGGAAGATAATCACGCCAGGCTCTGTAGATAGCCATGGGGCTCAAGGAGTGTGTTGCATCTGCACAGCTGCCTGCCCTTCTCAGCTGCAACTGCCCATCCTCATCTGCCACTGTTTAAGCTCTGTGGGGAGGGCACTTTGCCCAGGTCCCTCTCAAAAAACTGGCAACGGCCTTGGCAGGGGAAGGAGGGAGGGGCGACCAGAGTGACCACCTGTCAAAGGAAAGGACGCAGCAAACCAAAATGGAGAGAAGAGCAGATGGAAGGAACCAACTTCTTGTTTCATTCCTGCCGAGGGGAAAGGGTGGGTTGACAGGCGTCTCCGTCTGTGTGGCTTTATGATTCTCAATGGAGTAAAGAGGTGTGGTGTTAAGTGCCAGGTGGAGATTTGCCAAGGAGGCAAAGAGTTAGGACTTCTAGCAAAGCGAGGGGGTTGGACTAGATGACCCCTGGGGTCCCTTCCAACTTTGATTCTACCTTGTTATGTTTCATGTCTCAGCTGGATAGCTACCAACACTCAAGGGGTGGGTGGGTGGATGCATGCAGGCACGTATGCACACGTATGAACTCAGGGGCCAAATGCAACCTGTTAGGCCTGTCTACCTGCCCCTCAGGACTTTCTCCAGGCCACACTCCACACTGGCTCTGCTTTGCTCCTTCCTTGAGTCATGCGCGTAGCCAGGATTTTTGTTAGGGGGGGCAGGCTTTTTCGGGGGGGGGCAGAACCTTAGTTTGCTATGTATTTTTATTGATTTAATGGGGGGCAGCTGCCCCTCCCTTGGCTACACCCATGTCATGAGTGCCCTTGAACTCTGATCATGGCTCTTGTGTGCCTGGATGCAGGGCTATTTTTTCTAGAAAAAGAGGTGTGTGTGTGTTTGTGTAGAAAGCAGTCTAATGTATAAAGGTGACATTTACATTCATTGCCCCACTCACTTTTTTTCCTGCGGCCCAGCCTGCCATGGTCATGTGGCTCACCATTTGTGCTGCATATAGGCCTAAGGCTGTATCATCCCAAATAATAATAATAAAATAATAATACTAATAATACCACTCATCTGGCTGGGTTTCCCCAGCCATTCTAGGTGGCTTCCAGCAAAATATTAAAATCGCAGTAAAACATCAAACATTAAAAGCTTCCCTGAACAGGGCTGCCTTCAGATGTCTTCTAAAAGTCAGGTAGCTGTTTATTTCCTTGACATCTGATGGGAGGGCGTTTCACAAAGAGGGTGCCACTACCAAGAAGGCCCTCCGCCTGGTTCCCTGTAACCTCACTTCTCGCAGGGAGGGAACTGCCAGAAGGCCCTCAGCGCTGGACCTCAGTGTCTGGGCAGAACAATGGGGGTGGAGACACTCCTTCAGTCCCGGCTCCCCCCACCCCAAAGAAATCTGGTCGTTTGTTGACTGTTTAAAGTCATGTACTTCCTTAGTTAAACAGGGAGTGCAGCTGTCTAGGATTTCAGGCGACGGTCTCACCCTACCTGCAGATGCCGTTCAGGATCGAACCTGCAAATGCAGACGCTCTCCCATGAAGAGGTGGCCCTTCTGCTAGAATAAGATTCCTAAATTCGCAACCCGGGCTTGCTGCATGCAGACTGCTTAACCCTCCCCATCCCACAGAACACCATTTGTTTGTTTGTTTTGTTTGTTTGTTTGTTTTGTCTATTGCCCTATCCCCATAGATCTCAGGGCGGTTCACAACATAAAATCACAATATATATTTTTAAAAACCCAGAAGATGCATAATAAAAACAAAAACAACAACCCAATAATACACCCACCCTTCCAAAACACATTTAAAAGGGCATCGGATGTCAATTGGCCCAAGGCCTGGTTAAAGAGGAACATTTTCACCTGGTAAAGGTAAAGGACCCCTGACAGTTAAGTCCAGTCGTGAACGACTCTGGGGTTGCGGCACTCAACTCACTTTACTGGCCATGGGAGCCGATGTTTGTCCGCAGACAGTTTTTCTGGGTCATATGGCCAGCATGACTAAGCCGCTTCTGGCGAAACCAGAGCAGCGCACGGAAACGCCATTTACCTTCCCGCCGGAGCGGTACCTATTTATCTACTTGCACTTTGACGTGCTTTTGAACTGCTAGGTTGGCAGGAGCAGGGACTGAGCAACAGGAGCTCACCCCATCGCGGGGATTCGAACCGCCGACCTTCCGATCGGCAAGCCTTGGTCTCAGTGGTTTAGACCACAGCACCACCCACGTCCCTTTCATCTGGTACCTAAAGGTATATCATGAAGGAGTCGGCCAAACCTCCCTGGGGAGAGCATTACACTAAAGAAAAAGCCCGTTCTCATGTTGCCACCCTCCTAAAGTAAATCTCCCACTGCCCTATTCTCCAGCAAAAGAAAAGAGAGGAAAAAGTGCTATAATTAATCTCACAACAGAAAGAATACTGCTTCGTTGGAGACTGTGGTGTCTTTAGGATATATAGATTTATTTACACATACTGTATAATAATAATAATAATAATAATAATAATAATAATAATAATAATTTATTTATACCCCGCCCATCTGGCGGAGTTTCCCCAGCCACTCTGGGCGGCTCCCAATCAAGTGTTAAAAACAATACAGCATTAAATATTAAAAACCTCCCTAAACAGGGCTGCCTTCAGATGTCTTTTAAAGAGAAGATAGCTGCTTATTTCCTTCACATCTGAAGGGAGGGCGTTCCACAGGGCAGGCGCCACCACCAAGAAGGCCCTCTGCCTGGTTCCCTGTAACCTCACTTCTTGCAATGAGGCCCTCAGCGCTGGATCTCGGTGTCCAGGCTGAACAACCTGGGTATAAGATGGAGGGGCTCACAGCATTAACACCCCAACAGATCTTGCTTCTCCATTAGTCACAGCTCTGGATCCAGGACAGAGCAAGCAGTGTCTCCAACTCCCAGCCCGCTTCCAGCTCAGTCACCCACATCCCTATGGCTACTGTTCTCCTTCCTAGTGGAGGGAATGCCCACCCATTGGCCCGGAGGGCATCGTTCCTTAGCTCTTGCAACCTAGCCTATTCTTTGGGGGTGCTGATGAGGGCACTTTTAAGTGGTCAGCTGAGGTCATAGTCTTACAATGGAACTTCTCCCCCATCAAAATCTGGCTGCTTTAAAGGAAGTAAAAAATAAAATAAAAATGTCAGGGGATATGATTGCAGACCTCCTGCATCACAGGACACTTTTTGGCCCTTGTTCGTAGCCAGCTGTGTTGTGGATTCAGAGGACAGGGAAACACTGGTGGTTGCCTAGCAACAGCAGCGAGAAACATACCCCATTCTCTTCCAGGCCAGCCCTAAGAGGGTTGGGAGTGTGCCTTGCGGTCGCTAGGCAACAGTAAAAGGCTTCAGTTCCATCACCAACCTTTTGAGATGGAACTAATTTGGAATATACAGGGATTGAGCACTCCATAATCAAGGGGTGTATAAATTTTATGAAATGAAAGAGGATTAAAAACCGAGATTAAAATTTGCGTCCTCCGCCTAGTTGGCGAGACCAACTTTGCAGAGCATAGAATGGCTGAGTTTTGAGTTCACAGAAGGATTCAGTGCTGCCTCTTTTTAGGCCTCAGGCAGAATTGGGAGTGCCTAGTTCCCTACTATAAACAGTAATTATCTCACGTGTGATGTAATGTTAGGCAGATTGGATTCAGACTGTGGATAGCAAGCATGCATGCGATTAAGCTCCGGTGGTCGAACGATGGATATCTTGTTAAATTCAACTGAGGTCAGGATGGTAATTTCCTTTTATTCATCTGTGACGGATGTCTTACTTAGAGCTTTAGGTATTTATTATACCCCACCCCTTCAAAAATTACTGTAAGCTGCTGTTCACTCAGTCTCAGTTCTCTCTCTCTCTCTCTCTCTCTCTCTCACTCACTCACTCACACACACACACACACACACACACACACCACTAGCAAAATACAGTGGTACCTCGGGTTACATACGCTTCAGGTTACATACGCTTCAGGTTACAGATGCTTCAGGTTACACACTCCGCTAACCCAGAAATAGTACCTCGGGTTAAAAACTTTGCTTCAGGATAAGAACAGAAATTGGGCTCCGGCGGCGTGGCGGCAGCAGCAGCAGGAGGCCCCATTAGCTAAAGTGGTGCTTTCAGGTTAAGAACAGACCTCCAGAACGAATTAAGTACTTAACCTGAGGTACCACTGTAAAGTTAAGAATAGTAGGAAATGTGTTACCACCATGATGCTTTTTTAAAAAAATGGTTTGGTGATTTATTTATTTTATATATATATAAAAACCTGAAATAATTAAGTAAATAAACTGCCATATGCCAAGTCAGCCCATTGGTCCATTTAGCTCCATTATGTCTACACTGACCAGCAGCAGCTCTTCAGGGTTTCAGGTGGGGTTCTGCCCCAGCCCTACCCGGAGACGCCAGGGATCAAGCCTGGGACTGCCTGAATATACCGGTAAATCATATGCTCTGTCACAGAGCTAATTTCCCTCTCATAGGAGGCTGCTTTATACTGTGTCAGGCCACTGGCCCATATACATCAATATTGTCTATAATGACTGGTAGCGGCTTCTGAACTTTCATTACAACAGGTCACAACCACAACATAAATTTAAAGTGCATGGCT